ACACACACACACTCAGTCACAGGGTTTGCAGTTTCCATAATCCACAGTGAAATGGATGAGGGAACGGAAAGGCGCAAAGTCGGCTTAACTGAAGTGTTGAACAATGCTGACGCGTTGCGCTTTACTGAATACTTAGCAGATAAAAAGGGGAAGGTTTAGGGGAATAGCATGAGAACCGCCATGAGCAAACCGAAAGAAGAACAGCTTGTGCAACAGGTCAGCAGGTACGTTTGCAGCCCTCCGTTGGCCATCCGCCACTCGGGAGGGGGATGGCCCCCCTGCTTTGCAAAAGCAAAGAACTCTTAGAAACAGATTGTGGCGCGCGCACACAATTGGCCGCTTTGCGGCGCCTCCTCGCACCAGTGACAGTTCTGTTCGTGCTTCAAAAAGCGTTGGCACTCTGTTGCCTTTGGCAATGAGCCTGACTAGGCACCTAAAAAGCCTTAGAAAAGAAAGAAGGGAAGACAGAAAGAGCAAAACGGAAAGGGCAAGAAAGAAAGATAGGAGTAGCGAAAAAGTGACTACTTAGCACTTGACTACTTAGCCCTTGACTGCAAAAAAAGAGGAACTTCATTACAGACCTAAAAAGCCTCTAGCAGAAAGGCAAACCTAGAAAGAGAAACGAACAGGCAAGAGAGAAAGAACTAAACAAAACCCGAGGGGCAGGGAAACGAGCCTCAATAACCACCTATCGAGCCTGAAAGAAAGCCTAGAAAACAAAGAAAGCGAATAAAGAAAAAGTGGGGGGACAGGGAAGGTGTGTGTGTGTGTACATGTGTGTGTCTAGTTACTAAATGCTTAGCAGCCGTCAATTGCGTGCAATAGCAGGGAGCGGGACTTTAGTCTTAGACCACCCGGGTAGAGTAGACTAGAACAGGGACACCAGAAGGAAAGGCACCGACGCACAAGTTTGCCGAGTACCATTTCCTTCTGTTACCCTAATTAGAGGGGAGGGGGCAGGGGTGGGGGTTCATTCTCCGTAAGCCCGGCGGCATTTAGTCCGTGAGCCTGGCGGCATATGGTTCAGTTGAATCATGGTGAAACCAAACCAAACCATAATCCACGAACTCAAGACGCTGAACCAATTTGTGATTCACGATGACTTCGGCGCCTCTCTTGCGAGAGGATCACACTGTGTACCCAGTGGGAAGACACAGCGATACACACTTAGTCACAGGGTTTGCAGTTTCCATAATCCACAGTGAAATGGATGAGGGAACGGAAAGGCGCAAAGTCGGCTTAACTGAAATGTTGAACAATGTTGACGCATTAGCACTTTACTGAATCGTTAGCAGATAAAAAGGGGAAGGTTTAGGGGAATAGGAGAAGCAAACCGAAAGGAGAGCAGCTTGTGCAACAGCTCAGCAGGTACGTTTGCAGCCCTCCCCAGTGGCCTCTTCGTTGGCCATCCGCCACTGGGGAGGGGGATGGCCCCCCTGCTTTGCAAAAACCAAGAACTCTTAGAAACAGAGTGTGACACACACACACACGTCCTCGTCCTCTCATGCATGACAGCTAGTACAAAACGTTTAGAGAGGACATGAGAGGACTGACAGCAGAAAGAACTTTTGGAGACGGAGGAAGGACGAATAGTGAATTCAAACCATCGCAAGTCACGGCGCCACAGACTAAGCCCAGCAAAACATAACAGATGTGGAAGATGTCTTCAGATGTGGAAGCACAGAGAAAGAGTGAGCGAGCGAGCGAGCGAGCGAGGGAGTGAGTGAGTGAGTGAGTGTGAACAGTTTGTCTGATGCCATTGCACTAGGCATGAAAGTTAGCACCTTTACATGTGTTACACTGAATCACAACACTTTGTAAGGTTGAATCAGAGCAATATCATTCTTCTTCGTACTTGTTCACAGTTCCTTTTTGTATTTTGGACCGGAAGTCCCTTGCGTTTCGGATGTTGGGTTGCGTTTCGGGAGCACGGTGCGGGAACGTGGATTGGGTTCCTTTCCGGTGGACAGGTTTCTTTTTGTGTGTCCACCTAACAGGTGCGGCGCCGCTGCGCCGCCTTTGCCGGTTTCCAACGACCACCAAGGTCTATCGTGCCAGGAGATCAGTGAGGAACCCTGTGAGGAAAAGCTTGCAGGGCCCCTGTGTTCAAGTTCCGAGGCGGTCGCGACGGATCAAGTTCTGATGTGAACTACGAGAAACCAAGGTTCATGGTGTTCAGTCGGAAACCAAGTTCCCAAAAAAAGCGAAGGAGAACTTGACCGCTCGATGGTCTCCAACACTGACTTCTCGGCGTTTTTCTTCGCGGTAAATGAGGGATCACATGGCACCAGAGACGGGACCGAAGGAACTTGAGCCATTTCTGCTCTCCTCGCGCTTCAAAGTGCCATACATCAACCACCAGCACCATCACCCGCACCCGCATCCCGCAGCCAGCACTCACGGGACCAGTCTTTGTCTAGGCTCGAAGATGCATTCAATGGTCTTCAATACAGGTTCTTTGTGTTCCTTCGATGACCCAGGCAGTACTTCCATCAGCTGGAGTATGTCTCGCCATCGATGCTGGGTCGGCCCGGTAACGACCACGTGCTACAACAAAGAGAACTTACGGTCACTCCAGATGAAGCTTTCATGCGTCCTTGTTTGCACGAAGGGGCGCAGAGAAAAAACTAGCTGGATGGAGTTCGTAGAAGGTCATATTTGGATTATATAACTAGATGATGCGTTTGTTTGTGTGTCACGCTCGCATGGGAAACCTGTCCAGGTTCTACGCCAAGTGGTTAGCACAGATCATGCTGGATGTAACTGCTGGACATGAACAAGCCGGAGCAGTGGAGGTGTCCTGTCGTGAAGATGGACGTCTCCTGTGTACGTTCGGATAGCACTCAATGGTCCATGTGAAGATGATCTCTTCACTGCGCAGATGCCGAGTTATCGGGCAAAGCACAGACCGCAAAAAACTCCACACACCTCACACTTGGCACCACACCACCTTGTCACCACTCAGCACATCACATCACATCCGAAGGAGGCCCCCCAAGCAGTTGAAGATAGATATGCCCAAGGTTTGGAAACAATGTTCAAATCAAATTCTCGTTTGTCCTGTGTGAGTGTTACCTTTCTTTTTGTCTTCTTTTGACAGGGTGACTGTTGCAGCTCAACGTGGCTGTAGAGCCACGGGGACCAGCTTAGCAGGTGTTTCTTCCCCTTCTGCTCACTTCCGCCCACCCGAAACCACGTGTTTACCGTGCTTGAGAGGATTGACATAGCATCCACTCGGAACACTTCAACTTGAAAGTCCACCTGAGATTTGTTAGGAGATTTCTGCTGATGTGAAAGAATCCAGAGACGTTTGCAATTGTTCATCTCGCTGCTCGTTGCTTCCAGCTGATAGTAGCTGACCAGTCCAAGGTCTACGCACAAGACGCGTCCTGGTGCGCCTTTCGTTGGGGCATAGGACAAAGCTGCGGTACCAAGCAAACAGCCACGGCAACTGCGCTGCTCATGTCCTTTACTAACAAGAAGATGCCCAAGCAGCTCGGCTGCAATAGTTTGCCAGAGAAGCCCTTCAAAAGACGTTTGATTCCTTCTGCCTTTTCCTTGCAGACGTCAGTCCAACGCGCTAGTTTGCGTGAAGTTCATGCAGCTCTATGGACTCTATGGCTCATAACTCGCTGACCTCTTTTTCGTGCACACGATTTCATGCGGCTCTAAGTGAGAACGACGAAACGAAACACAAGTCATGAACGCTGAACGTCCTGCAGAGGGCGTCGATCCACACAACAGTTGATGCTGACAAGCTGTTTGTGCAAGAAAGCATCCATGGAGTGTTGATTTCTGCTCCCGTGGATGAATCCGAAATCGGATTCTCCATTGTGTATGGAGGCGCCACCGCTGGAATCCAAGGCTTTTGGACGATTGGACACATCTATTTCCACCTCCAATCTCTGGGGATCCGAAAGCAGTCTTTCAGAAGTTCCAGGCGAGAGCCATATGTTCATCGCGCGAGAGCTAAACCTATTTCGCAGGCCATATGTTTGAAAGACCATGAAAGAACATCCCCATACAATATGTAGCTGTCTGGTAGAGACAATGTAGGGACCAGAAGGAACCACATCCAGGAGTTTCTTAAGTCACTGAAGTCTCCAGGATGAGCTCGTGGCCATGGCAAGTTCTTGTGATGCTTACAATGCTGCTTCGTCGACAAGGCCTTATCCAGAGTGCTTCCCAATGTATGTGAACAACCCGAAACTTCTGGAAGTGAGTGTCAGCCTGTGAACACGCGTGAGACGTGTAGATAGGTGATAGGCTCACGTGGAGATGATCCAAGATGAGGAAGCTCCACAAATGGACCAGGTGGACATAAATCAATCCATCAACAGTGTGCCTTATTGGGATCAGCACTTGATTGACAAACCCAGTATTTTCGCCAACGCTCGTGGTTAAGGGGCGAAATTGCGCCCGTTCCCTGTGCAGATTTTGGATAATTTTCAGAGTCGTTTGCAATGCCAAAGGCCCAAGCACCATGAATACACACTGGCGCGTGTGTGTGTGCTCGAAATATTGACACGGGAGTGCTCACTGTTGATACAGGGAGTGCTCACTCGCCCGTGACCTCCGTGACCTGACTTCAATTTCACCGGACTGTGGGCCATAGCTTGAAGAGGCTTGCAGTTCCATAACACTAAGCTTGGACAAAGGCCCATGGAGAACTAGTGTAGCAGGTTGATTGTCAAACCAGCTCGGAGTGCAGGATGTGCAAGGACATCCTGCACGAAGCACGAGGCTTGTACCCCCCAAACCACCAGGTGTGTAGAGGAAACTGCTCGGCTTGGAAGGACTCCTAAAGCGGACAAGGACGCGTTCGGACCGATGGTAAGCCTTCTTTCGGAGAGCGAGTTCAACAGTTCTGCCATGCGCTTGTGTTTTTTTGCTTACGACACGCACGGTCTTTCATACTCCACATATAAGGCTGCTATTCAACTGCTGCACATTGCAGCACACAGGCCTGCAGTGAGGAACATCTCAACTTGCCCACAACTTTCAGGCAGTTTGCCCAACAGGTGGTTGCAAGCATCACTGCAGCATAGCCATCCAAAATCCGAATCCGTACTTTAAACATCTTGTCATGAACGTTTTTGTGCTTTGCATGTTTAAGCATCCTTGGGTCTTGGACCCAGCCTTAAAGAAAGTGTAGTGAAGAGAAGAAAGAAGGTAAGGGCCCCCTTATTAAAGGGCCCCATTATCTTAAGTTCTTCTCTTCACTACACTTATTTCTTTACTACGGATATCCACGAGTCTCGCATAGTCTATTCTCGCCCTCCTCCCGTTCTTGCCCCGCAAACATGGAAGCCAGGCCTTAATGCCTTAATGTGTTAGATAGTCGTTGTCAAACACGGCTGATCCGGTGTAGACAGCATGGAATGGAATCGGAGAGGGACATGAAAACGGGAACTAGGGTACTTTTTGCTAATAGCGATGGCCTCCAACCCACTAGCGATGGCCTAGGGTGCATTTTGCTACACATCGCGCTGGCCGCGGAACACTCTAGGGTTCAAGATTGAGCTCATCACTTCATAGTTCGGTGTGTGCAAATTCCTTACAACTCGCAGGCAATGCCTGTGTTTTGTTACAAGCTTTAAGCTTTGGGGTACTTGATCCATGGCACAAGTGCTAGAGAACCTGCTTGGCGTAGCCACTCTGGCCACATGCAGCGGCAGACATTTTGAGACATGGATCCGCACTGTTCCGGCCTGCCCCTTCTGCTAGATGGGAAGCGAAGCAACACTGCCAGGAGCCAAGACGGTCCTCTTTTCAATTGATGCCGAGACCGCTCCTTTCAGCTTGATTCCCTGCAGTTCAAACGGGCATCAAACATACTCACCAGGGATACCCTTTCCACTACAACCTCCCCAGTAGAAGGGACAGTGGAGTGTCGAGTGTCTCCCACGTTTCAGCTGACCGGACTTCGCGTAAAGCTACTAGCCATGGCCTCCACCTAAGAACGTCCTTGCTAGTAGCTTCTTGTTCTAAGGCCGGTAGCCCCGAGTAGCGTCCTTGCTCCTAGTAGTACGGCCAGGAGCCCTCGTAGCTCCTTGTTCCTATATAGTATTATATAGTACTAAGGCCAGGAGCTACGTTCGTAGTGTCCGATCGCTCCGTTCGTAGCGATGGCCTCCAACCGATGATCCAGAAGGACTGGAAGGGAGGCTTTTCGTTCGCAGCCAAGCACCGCTCAAACCGTTCGCTCCCGACGGAGCCCCGTTCTTTGTGAGAAAACCATGGCGCGGGAGCCCTGTTCCTCGAGTGCGAACAGAGTCCATCATCGTATCCCTCCAACCAAGTGGTTTCATCTGCAGGTTTTGGGTGTATTTTTAGACTACTTACGAACTGTAGAGGTATGAACTGCAAGGGTTGGGGGTTGGAAAGCTTCGGAAGGGCAGTCAGAGAGTATGGCATTCTTATGCAGACGTGACGAGCGCATGCCTCCTTGTGACGAGCTTCTTTGCGTCTCTCCTGGTAAACCATGACTTTGGGTTGGCCTTGAGGACCTGACAAAACCCAACCGCCCGGTAATCCTTTTGAAAAGGTCTTCAGCCTTTGACCCATGGCCTTCCATGGTTTACCTATGTTTACCTAATACTATTAGTTACTATATACTTCTTTCTGTGTCTCAGGCCATGCGTTTGCGGGGCTTGGTGCTTTTGGCAGTGGGGAGCTCAAGATCGTGTCAGTGTGAAACACCGTGAGACTGCAAACGCGTGGCCAAGTTCTACACCTCCTGAAGCGTATGTTCTTTTGGCAGGTTGCAGCTGCACTGGGGCTGCACAGCACTAGTTTTGTGGGCAGCGGGCTTCCAGGCAGGAGAAGCTTTGGGACATTCAGAACCGGCTTGGGTCACAAGTAAAATCAGCTCTTTGTGCTGCACCTTTCCACGAGACTGTTTCGATCATCTGGAGGTCAAAACTGACCAAGACAATTTGCAGGCCGCACCTCTTCCACTGCTCTCGCAGCAGCAAAGGCGGATAAGACCACCGAGATGCACAACTCAGCTGTGCAGCTCTTTGAGTCGAAGATTCAGAAGACCCCCAAGATCCATTGGTTCAGTCTTTTGACTCCGATTTGGGTCCAACGATGTTTGACCTGAAACGTCCGTTGCAAAACGGAATCGGAGAACATTCCGTGTCGACCAGTCTGAACTTGGCGCGATGATCTGAACTATGCGGACAGGGTGGGGGTATTTTTTATGCCATTTTCACTCCCAAGGGCCCAAGAGCTTGTTCCATGATGATCCAGGCTCCTGCCAAGACTGCCAAGAAGGCGCGAAGCGAAGGGCTCGAGCCTTCCTGGGCCTTCTTTCAGAAGTTTATTTTTGGAGATGCCAAGCAGATTCGCACAACGATCCAGATTCGCTTTGGGCGAGTTCGAAACTCGCCCCATGACCCACCGTCTCGAGACGGGAGTCCAACCGATTTTCGGCGGCCCCACCGTCGTCCACGACGCAGGAGAAGGCACCTTGGGTTGGACCGAAGAAGGGCTCCTGGGTCAAGATCCTCCGTCCTGAGTCCTACTGGTGACCCGACCGACCGAGCGGGTACCGAGCGGGTACCGAGCGGGTACCGAGCGACGTCTGCGTTCAGCACGAGCGACGTCACTGGTTCGATGACCGGGAAAGACCGACGTCTGCGTTCAGCACGAGTGTCGAGGTATCAGACCAGGGGCCAGGTGGTGAACGTCAACCAGAAGCCTGAAGTGAAGTACCCAGTGACCGCAGGGAAACCAAGCGCTTTGGGGGAGGTGGTTCCAGTCACTGAAGAGTCTTGAAAGTAGAGCCATGAATAGACGGAGTGTTTCGTTTCGGCGGTGCAGCAAAAATCACTCGTGAGAGCCGCTGGTTTTCGCCCCGAAATCCCGCTACTTGGGTCTCAAGGCCTCAACCTCAGGCGTCCCCGGTTGACAGTTTCAGTCGAGACGCGGACGCGGACGTGGACCTAGTTGACGTAGGACACCGATATGACACCTCCCAACGTGCGGGGTTTGCGCGGAGGTGAAGTTCGACCGAGTCAACTTCTCCAACGTGAACACCAACGGCTTTGCTCTTTGGGAGGCGCTGACGCCACACTCAAATACACTCAAGACATGACTTCAAACCGCCAGTGACCTAGACTTTCGAGGTGGCCAAATCCAAACAATCGAGGTATTCCAATCCCCCAACTGTTGGTATGTTTGAGCCACACGGTGTGGCCTTGCTCAGAGGATTTGCACCTCTCCCTACCGACCTTTGTCCGGGCTGTTTTCAAGACTCCAACATTGAGAAGCCAAAGTTGGGTGATATGACAATAAATATGACAATATTTGTTGTTTGATATAACGATATATTATAATATATATATATATGATATATGATATATGATACATGATATACATTATATATATAATGTATTTGTGTAACAGCCTGTAACACAGGGATTGGGGTAACCCTGGCTCGTCACCGTATCCCCAAACCTCGGACGTCAGATACTGTCGGTCCAGTTCGGCATTTGGCCGGAAAAATCTCCTCCCGGCTTTAGAATCTCAGAAGGAAGTCTTAGATTTCTAAAATCTCAGAAGCTTATGATGTGTTTTTTTTGTTTTTGTTGCGATCATGAACGCTTTGTTGACGTTTTAGAAGTCTTATGAAGTCTTAGAAGATTTGTTCGTCTGAGACCAATTGAAACCTGAACTTCCAGGTGATCGAGGCGGCAGAACCTGGTCCTGGTGAGGTCTAAGCGTGCAATGGCGGACGTGGGACCAGGTGTAACGTGCAACGGTGTGGCCTTTTTTTGAAGAAAAAAACGGTGCTGGTGTGGCGCTGCATCGCCGAGCTCCGCGCTCGTCTGCGCTGGGGTTTCTCACATGCGGTCGTGTCAGTTCCGGACGACATGAAGAGAATGGTCGACCCAGCGGATCTGTTACTAGGAGCAATGTTCGCTACTAGGGGCTCCTGGCCATACTACTAG